CAGTAGATTCTACTGAACTGGAACGGTGTGTAGATGCCTCGGCAACCTTCTTATCGAAGCTCCCCCACAAATCACTTTCATAGGCAGATTGTTCTGTATTGTTCTGTGTTGTGGTACTCGCTGACATCGATGTGCCGCTTTCATTAGTATCATTCGTGATTATGTTACAAGCTTCCGCTGAAATTCTATCAATAGTTCGTTCAGCATTATCAGCACTGCAAAAAGCAATTTTCTTGAATCGCGGATCTAAAATAGTTGATGGCGAAACAGTATGGTTAGACTCTAGTTGGGAAAATCTTCTTTTCAATTGACGCTTCAGTTCTGCTTTGAGCTTAGATTCAAGCGATTGGGACTCATTAACAACTTGAGTTGAACTGCCACCAAGAGCACCTTGCAGCAAGTGAACCAGAGGAATTATTTTTGACACTGAGATGAATGACTCACTTGACATTTCTCGTGTTGCCTTCTCAAATCCCCCTAGCACAGAGACAATTTGCTGCATTGAATCAAATTCAGAGTTAGTAAGACATAGATCGTTCCTTCCACTTAAGCACAAGGCAGTTGTCACGGCTTCCCGAAGCTTAATTAAGAAAACGTTCCATCATGTAAAAAGTTGAGTTCCATCGCGTCTCAACATCCTGCTTAAGTTTCATTGGCTTTGTGGTTGTGTTTGCCTGAGACTGCATAGATAACAGCTTTTCTGTTGCTTTTGTACTGCGATGAAAGTAAGTTACAATGTCTTTGCACTTCTTCTGAAGACGTGGTAGTCCAGTGACAGCATTCAGAGAATCCTGAACAATTAGGTTAAGAGTGTGCGCAAAGCAAGGCAGATGACGCCATCCAAGCAAGTTTACAGCGGCTACAATGTTAGCAGCATTATCTGTGATAATGCAACAGATCTTCTGAGTTATCTCCCACTCTTTTGCAATATTTTTCAATTCTTCTGGAAGGTTTGGTGCAGTGTGGTCCTTCTGTACGTACAATGTTTCAAGGACCTTTGAACACAATTGCATTTCGTGGTTAATGAAGTGGCAGGTAAGAGTGAGATAACTTAAAGTTTGATTAGAAGTCCACAGATCTGTTGTCAGAGCAACATGTTTTACTTGCGTCAGTTCACGTTTTACAGCATCCTTTAGTTTTTCATACTTTTTTGGAAGTAGTGACCTTGTGATAGTAGAACGACTAGGTAGCTGATACCGCGGATCCAACTCCTTAACAAATTTAATGAATCCTTCATTCTCAACAACAGAAAGAGGCTGCATGTCCTATTAAAATAATCAGCAAAACAATATCATTGCCTTATTGGTCATAATATAGTAACAATAGACGAACATAATATTATACTACAATGCTAAGATAATATTAGATAATACAGCATAAAGTAATATACTAATAATGAATATAACTACCATTTATTACAGAAAGTATTACAAAAAATATTGTTTAAAAATTACGATACACTTACCTTGGCGATCATTCCTACCAATGATTCTGTTATGTCTCCCCACCGTTTCGAAGAGATAGGGTAAGTTGTTCCTCTTCCGAGTGCCGATTGCATGGTCATTTGCTTTGGAGTAGCCTTTCTCTTGTTTGCCTGTGATTTTTCCTGTTCTTTCTTCTCTGCGTCCACGGTTTTGTACTCCGAGTTGTGCTTACATTTCAAATGCTTGAACAAGTTTGACGTGTTGTTTGCACGGCTTAAAACTTCCCCACAAATGGTGCAAGATACTTTACTTATGTCAGATTCGTCGTCTTGATCAAAATATCGCCAGGCAGCGCTCCTTTTCATCGCAAATAATATTAATATGATATACAATTACAATAACAAACAATAACGCGCCTTATGGCGCCAATAATCAAATAATGGCGGGAATTTACTGTTGGTCAGTACTGTTGGTCAGTGGAAAAAATGTTTTACTTTATGTAATCCAAATAAAGCTGTAAGTGTTAAGTAAAGTCAAAATTTTGTATACCTGACTTGGCTCACTATTTTGATGAAGTTAATTTAACGGTTTTTTAGTCTTTTATTTGACAAAAAAATTTTAAGAAAAATTAAAATCGCGCTGATAAAGGGGTGCAAGTATCGAACGATACCAGGTCAGTAATCGATACCGATACCGCTGGACTTGGTATCGCTGGTATCGATTACCAAGTACTCGGTATCGCCCATCACTAGCAAATTGAAAAATGTGTTTCAATATTTCGTAAATATTGATTACTCTTGTGTATATATTTCTTAACATTTGGTTAAAAATAACGGACAATGGTACACAGAAAACATTAAATGAAACATTATTCACTGGGGTAAGGAAATGCGCGATAAAGACGACGATAAAACGTGAACACATTCATGCATTCAATACCAATGTCAACAGTCATCTTCGAATCGTATTTGGATTCTTGGCATCTTATAAACAGATATTCAAACGTTTGTTCTGATGCACTTAGTAGCTGTGTATGGTGAACTGTGGATGTAAGTATTTTTCTATCATTGAATGATTGATTCTACTATATTACTATAAGTCTAAATGTTGCAGTATTAAAGGGCAAATCATTCGTAATACAATGTAATTAGTAATTATTGCAAAATTGCAAATTTACAACATTATATCAAGAGATCAATTCCTCTACCCAATTTTAGTACAGATATCAATACATTATTTCTTGCTTCATTGTTATAATTTTATTATTTTAATGCTTCTTGGTATTAATATTAATGAGGTTGTTTTTGTGCTGCATTTTAGGGACTGTAATCACATGTCAAGGCCTACCAAGTTTGAGAGCTTATTCTGGGCCGAATATGTTTGCCGAATGTACCACTTGGAGCAATAGGACAAGAATACAGTTACAGATAATTTTATTTTACCATTGAATCATGTAATTTGGTATTGACAATTGTAATGTTGGTCTGCATGCCCCTTTGGTAAGCACAATGAGTGCCATCACTGCCGTGTGCATCTTTAAACATCCTTGTTAGCAGCAAGTGGGTTCAGCAAAGAAAATGATGGAAAATTTAGCTATACAAATTGAGAACTGGATTGGGATGTCCTGTTAACACTCAGGAACATCTTTTAAACCAACCATCAAACTGCGGGAAAACCAAATGGTGATGCAAGACATAACAGCATTTGGACGGGATGGTAGAAAGATCCAAATTTAAAAGGATTCTTATTATAAACAAGTAAATCTTGAAAAAGAAATGATTTCACATGACAATTGATGATGAGGGATGCCCAGCACAATTTTAATTGTCTAAAATATCAAGTATAGTGTATATCTTAACAGTTGGTAGTTCATATTTGATAACTTATACTTTATAGACGTTTTCCCGAAATGTGGTATTTTTCATCTTTGAAAAAAGATAATTCTTTACCAATTTGACCAAACTGGCTGACATTTTCAGTGTTAATAGAGCTCATCATGATAAGTGTTTTCAACGATAGAATTTGGCATATGTTGTAATGCTGCCATTTTATCGAGGAAATATGCCAGGATTTTTGGAAGAAAATCGAACCAAAATTTTGCAGCAATGTTGTGCAAAAACTACATGCAGCATAAAAAACTCCATCGCTGAAAACAATCTACTTGCTTTGTAGTCAACAAATAGCTCTTAGTGGTAAAATTTGATTAAAATGGTAAGGCTGTATTTTTTCCCAACTAACAGTGATTTGTATGAGACATACACTGTGTTTAATTACTAGATGGCAGGATAAATATTACAGGTATGAGAAAGACCTTAGTATTTTTAGAATCTATGTTATATAGGCTTTGTAATGATATATAGTTTTGTATAGCTATCTAAAAAACTTGGCGAGTAATAGGCTTGCAAATGTGGTCAACTGGAATATCTCAATTTTAGGTAGACCCCCACCTTATTTAAGCCGTATGCAAATGAATCCTTGCCCGTCCTAGTCAATATAAATTGTACTACGCTTGCCCGTAACCCCGAGCAAAATGACCCAGGGTCGGCCTGAAAAAGTTGATTTTTATACAGAATTATATTTGAATTCTAATTTCATTGATAATTGTTTCTAAACCTAGTGACAATTCAGTTGCTAGAAAACTATCCTGAGCGAAACAAACGAAATATTGACATTTGACATCACAGCGAGTATACATTTCTTTCGGCCAGGGGTTTTCCCCGAGATTGAATTCGTACATTCTAACGAAACTTTTATAAAACAGTTTAAAAACCGATGAAAATTCTGTCTGTACTATGACTAATTCTGAGTTTTCCAATTTCATTCAACATTTATCATTTATAGACCTGGAGCCGAGCGAGGAGGATTCGGGGAAATATTACCCTCAGTGATGATATTTCCCTCGGGGCTTCCCCAAATCCCCCAAGCGGAGGGTCTATAAATGATATATTATACCGAAAATTAAAAGCCTCCAAGTCGACAATTAAAAACTTGACACATACCTTCGGCTTCGTGAATACGATGTTTTATTTTCGTATTAACGCAAGTATCGTCGCTTTTCTTTCGAATCACATATCGTTTGGAATATTTATTAATGACAACATTTTTCAAAGTTTGCTTCAAAATTTTGAAAAACCCCAGGTTTTACGTTTAAAATTGAATTATTCATCATTCGTTAATAGTATTTACATTTTGTCGGCCATGTTGTTGTCATGCGTGTTGTCTCGCGTGGTCTACGCGAATAATGTTCCACCCCATGTTCCCCGGGGAGGGAACATGGGGTGGAACATTGTCAAAA